CATACATCCATAAATATTCATACATACATATATCACTAATGCCATATCATCATCGTCATTCTCCATTAACAAATCACTTAATACTTTTCTTTATTCAACATTGCTTAATGCTCTATAATAATACTAATAATGAGAATAACGATTATAATTTCAATCTCAGTCTCATTTTCATTTCATTTTAGTTGACAGTTTTTCTTCTTCCTTACGACAATAACAGAGAATTTTCTAAGACAACCATTACGAGGTTATTAGTTGCGCTCATATAATACGTCACTTCCAGCTTAAGCTTGACTTCCCGTATGCATTTTTATGGACACGATAAAACAGTGATAATAATGATGATAATACTAATAGCTACAACCAAAATAGCGCCGATATAAGTGACAACAGTAGTAGCAATAATAATGATATTAATACCAATAGTAATAAATTAAAGCTTTTAAATATATTCTAATTTAAAATCAAAAATGCACTCCTATGTAGCAGTATTTACTGTTGATAATCGTCAATTTACTCACTCATATATCAAAATTCAATATCTTTTATATGTACAAGTCAATATCATGCTACTTTCATTTCGTTTCTTCACAAACTGTCATCAAACGACCATTCCACTCAAACTACCCAACCTCGTACATATTACTCAATCATTTCACGAAAATTCTTCAAATCAAATCAATTCAAAACAAATCTTCAGACAAGCATTTAATAATCATTCGTCCCAATCAATTATTTCAAATACCACTTCAAATCCATCCATCCATCCATCCACGCGCTTGCGAAATTCTCGTCTCCTCTGCTCACGCTTTCTTCCAATTATGTTATGTGTTACCCTGCTGACTACCTTAATCCTATCACCAACCAATGAATATTCACTCTGTCACATAATTTGCTCATTACATGCCTCATACATTTACCTGGGTTAATTTTCAACCACCGTGTCACAAGAGCAAACCATCAAATCTACGCTCTGTTATTTATCGCAAATGAATAACTTGATAGTTTATTGATGACGATGATAAAGATGATAATCATAATGATAACAATAATATCAGTTAGAACTAGTGTTCGTCGGGGAGCAATTTTTTGCACGGGGGGGGTCCCCGCGGGGAGTAAATTGGACGAGGGGGGTCCCCGCGAAAAAGTCGGGGAGCAAATTGCGCGGGGGGGGGGGGGNCCCCGCGTTCCCCGCCGGGGTCCCCGACGGGGACCCCGTTCCCCGACGAACACTAGTTAGAACATATGACGGATAAATCGTCGAATGCTAGCTGCAAAAGTGAATGCTTTAAAGCAGTAATGCATTTATTTCTACGTTAATAAACGTGTTGTATGGAGCGAGTGGGGTGTGGAGCCGATTTTGGAGGTGAATGACTTCATTTCCAATGGCATTATATTTATATACAAATTACCTTCATTCATTATCACGACTATCATAGGGATGCATTTACAAGCCATTGCATTGTGTACTTTGCTGTTTTGCATCTTCATTATTACAGTATCCTTATTTACAGTCATTATGTATGTGAATATGTATCCAAACATAAAAATCATACCTATAATACCTAGCTATTTTCATTGATTGATTCATTCGCAACGCAATAACAAAATAATTTCTGACAAATGGTCATCAGCAATCATCGACTTTTACATGCATGCACAGTCATCATTAGCACCTAAATGACACCTAAACTCTAATTTTTCATTATCATTTCTAAATTTTCATTAGGTCATGATAATAAATTACGTCTCCTAATGTGATAATATTTATCCACCTGTTTATTCATTCGTATAAGCCTTCAATACCCCACGAGATTTGCCAAAATACCTACCTGTCTAACTATCATAACATTGCGACAGTTCGGTAAGCTACTGGCAATCTCATTCAGATCACATCAACAGTATATATCATTCTGCCTCAGTTTTTGATCATCAGTAACTTTTTGTTATGTGAAGCAAATGATTCACTAGCTTGGCAACAAGCGTTCATAAAACTTGATATCTTTCTCTTTATCCAGTAGCAAATACCTACACCTTTACCTAATCATATCCTATAATATCATCAAATCTTTTTCTCAGTTTTTAACTTCACCTCATATTTTTTCTGCAAATAGATATAAGAGGAGAATTTATGATAGGCATTGATTTGTGTTCATATTAGTGATATTTCTACTCCAGTCAAACTGTTTTATTCCCATTCTGTTCTAAGTAATGCAACAGAACAGTTGAAAAGCGGAACAAAACGGTTTGAAAATTTGAAGTGCGGGAATAGAACTGAACAGCTTTCAAAAAGAAAAGTAGAGAACAGAATTCTTCAATGAACGAAACATTATTATTGCTGTTAGTAAAATTATTGCTTTTGCTTTTTTTTCCGTTTACAAAATATCACTGCTTGTTTGCGTCAATTTATTCCAACCAAACAACACAGCACTTTTGTTTTATTAATTTGCATCTAAATTAGTAATGCGTTCCGTTGAATGCATAGATGGATTAATCAAACACTTCGATCATTGTCGGCGACTGACTAATTTATTCGATTCTTTCGTATTACCATTCTTTTCGATTGATTCTTTTTCGATAGACGTTATTCAGTTAGCATAACCCATACATCTTCAACAAACATAAATCCATAAATGCCTTGAAAAATCAATCACTTTTTCTCGATATGTAAATATAAAAGGTGAAAACAGTCGAACTTGATATCATAGTTGAAGAGGGAAGTAGTTGAACAGTTTGCTCTTGATCCATTACATCATCACAAGTCAAATTAACTATTCATTTTTTTCTAAATTGCATGTTTACTTTACACATTTCTAATGCCTATCTTTGTTCATTTGCAACGCTTTTAGACGACATTACATATATATA